AAAGAAAAAAAAAACAAAATGTAAAAAATTACAAAGCATAAAAAGAAATATGACAAAAAAAAAGCAAGAGAAAAGTAAAATTGGAGCATTTTTGAGGCGATGTTTTTCGATTTGTAACAATTATTGGTCATTACGAGGCGCAAAACAAGCAGCCCAATTTCCTTACACACCAACAAAAGACCTGCCTCCCCCCCCCCCTCGATATTTTAACCCCCTTGGCAATTATTGCACATTTCTGTGGCATACTTTGCGGCCGCTTGCAAGCACGAAGGGGCGTGGTGCCGCCCCCATTGGAAAACTCAAACCAACCACGCTAATGCTTTTGAAATAATAACAATAAATATTATTGACATGCAAAAAGGCCACAAAATGTCAGGAAATATTTATAACACGCCAGCAACAACAACAACAGCAACAACAACAACAACCCAAATTTTAGTTAATATTTGCATTCCACGTCCCCCCCCTTGCAAATACCCTTGCAGTGGGCATTTTGGCTATGCCACAACATGTGCAACGCACTCAAGTTTACTTGCATAATTTTAAGAATCTATAAACTTTAAGGGTATATTTAAGTGAACCTAACAAGAGCAAGAGAACTGAAAGGGGATACCCTAAATACCCTAAAGTCCTGGGAGATATGACAGACAGATACGACAGACAGCTATGAATGAGAGATGTGACAGATATTACAGGTAGATAACGCAGACAGATACGACAGACAAATACGACAGACACATATGTCAGATAATGCAGACAGAAATAAAGACCAGATATGACAGACAGATATGACAGACAGATATAAAAGACACATAAGCAGACAGATATGACATACAGATATGGCAGACACATATGACAGACAGATGTGTTAGACAAATACGTCAGACAGATATAATAGACACATAAGCAGACAGATATGACAGACATATATGTCAGACAGACACGACAGACAAATACGATAGACAGATATGTCAGATACAACATTCAAATAATGCAAACATATGAAGAACAGATATGACAGACATATCTGACAGACATATATAGTAGACACATGAGGCAGACAGATATTAAAAAGAGATGTGACAGACAGATATAAAAGAAAGATATAACAGACATATATGTAATCCAGAAACAACAGACAGACACGATAGACAGATATGGCAGATATCACATACAGATAGGGCAGACATATATGAAGCACAGATTTAACAGATATATCTTACAGACAGATATAATTGTTAGATAAAACAGAGATATGACAGACAGGTAAGACTGACAGTGAAATATGGCAGACATATATGACAGAAAGATACGAAAGGCAGATATGACATAAGGATACGACAGACATATTTATATATATAACATACATATATAATAGACAGACAAAAAAGACAGATATGACAGACAGGTGAGGCAGACAGATATGGCAGTGAGATATGTCAGACATATATAACAGACAGACATATCAAGCAGATGTGGCAGATATATATAACCATTTTCAATGGGTATACAAATCAGGCAAATATAGTCAAAATTTTACTGGGAATAATTTTAGCAAATTTAATTGAGCTCAATCTGATTTGAGCTATTCTTTTCTGAATATAAATTCGAATTTCTAAATACAAATACTTTTTATGATGTATTGCAGATATATATCGAACTTGGCTGGATCAGATTTGATCAGAAAAATATATCTACCATAAATAATGAAGGTAAGTGAAAATTCCAGTTCAAACATCTTTCGCTTTTCAATTTATAAAATATATCTGAAGAGAATTAGTTTGACATCGACAAACTAAATATTATAAAGTACATTAAATCTGCGGCTATCTCGGAACAATAGAATTTTTACGGAATCAAAAACCGATATATATTTTATAAAGTATATTTAATTTTCGGCTTTCCCAAACGCTTTATTTGGTTCGTTTTGTTGCTGGTTACGGGCGAGCGCAATTATTAGTAATTGTTTTGCAGGCGCTGCTGTAATTATGTGAATAATTTCACAAATGATGCTATACGTGGGCGTGGTTCAATGTCCGCCCCCCAGCCTCCCCCCTCCACTGAACGCAAACTTCCTCGGCCCAAATGTGCGCTTTAATTTTTCGCATTTTGCGTGTATTTTTAATTGAAATGCGCGCTGACATTTTTATGGCTTTTCGTTTAGTTTTTAGTCGCAATTTGGCCAAAATGTTGCAGTTTATTTATTGAAATTTATTGGCTTCGGTTATTTGGTTTGGCGTTGTTTAAGCAGATACCATTTAAAATTCAATAAAATTCAGAGCTTCGAAAATGACTTCGCATGGGTGGGGAGGGGGCCGATTGGGTAATTTCTCTGTGCAAGTGTGTGTGTGTTTTTTTTAATGTGACAGCCAGATGTTTTTCCGCCTGCTTTGCTTTTCTTTTTTTTAAATTCATTTGGTTTAGCTTGCCAAATGCGTTTTAATGTTGTTTGAACATTATTCTGGACAGGGGTTAAAAGTGTTTCCTAAATGCAATTAACCTGAATATAAATAGAAATGCCCTTTAGAAGTTGTCAAGCGTTTGTGTATTACATATATAAATGATAAAACACAGGCTCAAACCAATGCCTGAATTGACGAATATGGAAAATCAGGCTTACCAACCGGAACCTTAAGACAAGGCGTTCGTCAACCGAAATACCAAATCAATTTCTCTCTAATCGCAAGATATCTGAAGTCAACTTTGATAAATAGAACGCCTTTATTTAATATATATGTTTCTTAACATTTATATTACGATAAATTGCAACATTTCTGTGTACAGACAATGAAACTTCGTTGATTTTTAGAGTTCTTTGTGAAAATGTATTTGAAACGCTTATCGGGAAATCCTTCTCGTTTGAATGAAAGGATCATCAGAAAACCAACATGGCCCGAAGCTGTTGTTCTTAAACTATTCACTAAACAATTGACTTTAACTTATTTCAAATTGATTTCAATTTTGCAGAAACAAGAATTGTTTAGTTATATGAGACATTTGACGTTTGGCACTAAACTTGCTAAGGCAAAGCCCGGAAAATATCCGAGCTTCTGTTCAATAATAACTTAATGAATATATCTATGTTTTTATGTAGTGTTCATTTTAAATTAATTTAATTTTTAATTCATATCTAATGTTAGAGAAATTGTTTGCTGCATATCATAAAATAGTCTGGTAAATTCGTCAAATATTGATCTCTTTAGTTTCAACTTTGATTAGGTTAATTAATAAATTGAGAATACTTTAAGTTAGCTTTAAATAGTTTTTTTTTTTAGCAAAAGCAAACAACAGCCGTTTAATGTGCCCAACGTTTGGGTTGCATATCTATTGATATAGCCTTGTCTCATTTGCCTGGACTTGAGTATTTGTTGCCTTTGTTCCATATTTCGCATAATGCTGGCAAAATTCCCAGCAGCAAGGCTGTGTTTTTTTTTTTTCTAACCCACGGGACAGACAAAGGCTGTTGCAGTTTTGTAGTTGTTGCCGTTGTTGTTGGTATATTACTTATTGTCCTGCTCGGTTGCATCATTTCCATTATTTTTGTTTTGCATCTTGTGCCGCACTTCAAGCGCTTTTCCACTTGAGCAGCGAGCTTTTCTTTGCTCGCACTCGAGCGGCGCTTCAATTCGCACTTCACCTGAAGAGTCGACCCAGGTGAAGCGATTCCGTTTTCAATGCAACCGCCTGCCTACCCTCTCTCCGCTCTCGGCCAAACTGTGCCATAAATGACAATCGAAGGCTGCAGCAATATTCAGTCCCCCCACCACCTCCCTCCCTCCCTCTGCCATGCTTTGGTCGAACCGCATCACAATTAAAAAAGAAGCATCCATTTTTTTTTTGCCTATTTTTTTGTTCTATTTGTTATTTTTGTCTTTTGCATTTTTAAGTGTATTTGTGTTTAATTAAAATACTTTTCACACTTTGGCTCTGTTGATTGCATATTGAATATTTTGCCAGCGCCCTTTGCCGCTGACTGTTTGACTGATTGACTCACTGACTGACTGCCAAACTAAAAAACTTTTGCGCTGGCATTTTATTTTTTTTCTGTTGTATATTCTGTTCACTTTTTGCCATTCGCAGCATTGTGCATCGGTTAAAAATGATTTGCATTGTTTGCTAACTGAAAGTATTTTAATATAGTTTTTTTTTTTTCGGCATCTCGTTCAACATTTGCTGCAGCTATTTTCTAGCTATTTTCATTAAGCGTCGTCTGCACTTTTGCCTGCTTTCTGTTGCAGGTAACTTTTGGGCGGCAAGTTCTATGAAAATGTAAATAAAAATTTAAGCTAAAAGTTAACTTAAATATTTGCTACTTTTAAGTGCTCTCCACATATATTTCAGTCTCGAACTTAGATTAAATCAACTTTAACTCTTCATTCAAAAAAATAAAATATTAAATTAAGAGCAGCTTGCTTAAGATTTTCGTTCATGAATCATGATTGCAAATTTCTATAAATTTTATCTGTTATATTTTCATATTCTCTAGATAATTATAATTAATTGAAAGCTTAGCTCAATTAATTTCATATAAATTGCTTCTCCTTGGCAGAAACTTTTGTTAAATGTATATTAAAAACACGGAAATTCACAAAAGGGCATAAAAAAAATACGCTTCAAAGTAAAATTGTTGCCTGCGCATTTCTAATACACTTTTAATTAGATTCGATTACTTTTCAATTTTGCCCAGGCTAATTGATTGCAATAGACATACCGAACGTTATATCCTCATTAAATACTATTTACACACACGCACTCGCACCTTGCATTGAGTTTTAATTAATTGTCAGTGGCGTTGTGAAGTTTCTCTGAGTAATTAATTATAATTTTCTTCGATTTCAAAGCAGAAACAGAAACAACTTCTTGAGGCCGATTAAGAGCTCGCACTCAATACGTGCAGAGCTCATTAACTTAATCGATTTCGCTAACCAGATTCAAGATAAACTGGCTTTAATTTAGCCGAAATTTAGAAAAAAACGGTTTTTGCATAAATTTGTACATACCCAAAAAGTGCAGCTACGCTTGACAACTAAATTTGGTTCGTTGTATTAATTTTTGGTTTCGTTTTGATTGTTTAAATATCCGCACTTGTTCTCAATTGATTTATGACGTTTTGACATTTATTTTGAATAACACACAAACTCGTATTTGTATTGTATTAATTAGTATATAGTATATATATTTTATGTGGGCTTGTGAGCTGCTGCGAAACTGGGCAGCTGTTTTGAAGAAAAAAGCAATTAGGATATGTGATTTGAAGATTTAGAAGTCGGCGCAACACAGTCTAAGATAAGTATTCAGACATTTTGCAATAAATTTACAAATGCAAATTCAAATAAAAACAAAGGAAATGTATATGTGTATAAATAATATATTTGATTCAGATGGTCTGCGCATAAAAAGAAATGTGACATGTTCTATATGAAATAAATTTCAATTTTTAAAGCACACTTTTCGGCTGAATGCAGCTCCTGGCAAAGCTGCCTAGAGTTGTTAGTACTATTAAATATGTAGTTTATGCTTTTTAATTGGCAACAGACTATGAACGCATCTATTAAGAATATCACTTTGAGCAATTTATCCTTGGACATGCCTGGGATTCAAAGCCGGTCGCCGGCTGCCCATTCCATTTTAGTTGGCTTGTTAACTTGGCCAACTCAGCTGCTAAAATAATGCCCGTAACATGCATAAAATATGCAGATGCCAGTCATAAGCATGGCAAGGCGAAGCCCGGCACCGAAATGGAATGCATTACAGAGTGCGGCACAGCTGATGCCACTTTCAAGTTGTGTTCAGCAGACTCAACAAACAAAACAAAAAGAAGGCATGAAAAAGCAGCTGCCAGCTAGTGAAAATGACACTACACAGAGCCTTGTGCCCACCCAAAAGCGTATACTTTATTTTTGTTAATATTATTTGTAGCAATTACACGCAGTTTCGCTTGAAGTGTGGCTGCTGCCTGCTGCTGCCAGTTTGTTTGGCCAACTTGTCAAATTTGATACGCTTGGCGCTTTCGGGCGCTGCAAATGTTGCCGCTATCTCTATGGCCGCACGGCGCCAGAGAACTCTCGAACTTTTCGCTTAAATCGTTCGTTTGCAACTGAAGCGACCGTTGCACACAGCTCGCCAAAATCGCTGCACTCGTTCGAGACGCGACCGTTGCCAGCCAGTCAGCCAACAGAGGCAGCAGCAGAGGCGACAGCAGCAGAGGCGACAGCAGCAGCAGCAGCAGCAGCAGCAGCAGCAGCCACAGCCAAAGGCTTCCAATGCGAACCGAAGCTCAGGCGAATCGGCGAATGTTGCCCAAAAGCAAACAAAACAGAGAAATGGCGCCGGTTACCGTTAGACGCAAGCATTCGTGACCCATTCCCAAAGCGTTCCGCACACGAGTTGAGCGAAGTTAACAAGCAGCTGTTAATATTATTGTTGCCATTACGAACAGCTCTCAATGTGATTAATTTTTTTTTTTAATAATAACACAAGTAAGACAAACTTTATGCAAACAATTTAAATATGCATCATAAATAGTTTGTTGGGCTTTTGCTGTGAGAGAGCATTTGACGCTCTCATGCTCGTTTTATGGCGCTCTGCATGCTGTTGCACATTCGGGAAATGCACTGGAAACGACTGGAAAGTGGAAGCGACAGTGCACCGTTCGCCAGTTGACAAATCTACATTCACTTGACAGCCAACAGCTGTGAAGGATAGCAGAGAGCGGGAGCTAGGCTGGCGATATGTAGGGAAAACTTGTTTTATGCGCTGTAAAAATTCGAAGAAATTATGTTTAAGCATATGGAAATTAAGGCCAATAAATTGGTCAATATTAATTCACACATTAATATTTAATAACAATGTGGGACTAAGTCAAAAAATTAGCTTATTTAACATATTTTTCATTTAACAAACCCAAATATTACAAGCTGTATTTAAACTTAACTAAAAGACTCTTTAACAGTTTTCAACAATTAACTAAAAGCCGCTTCCAGTCAAGAACTCTCTTAAATAAACAAAGACGCGCTCTTAAATGGCGTTGCCATAAAGAACTTCCAGTGTTTCACTGTGCCAAAACGTTCCGCCGAAGCTGCTATAAAGCTTCCAGGAGCACCTATGCCAGAGCGTAGGCTCGTCTTTTAACATTCCCTCTCTCTCCCTTTCTCTGTCTCTCTCTGTCTCTCTCTCGGACTGCCGAGAGAGTGTTAACAGCGCACTGTTACTCTGCCCAAAATGCTGTGCTCCACATTTCAAAGCCACAAATTGCCGGCAGCTGACACTTTCGAGATGTCACTCCTAACGGCACGGAGGCCACTCGAAGGCGCCACACGGCGATTTACGAGCACGAACTGCAAACGAAGTGCGAAAGCCAAAAGACAGTCGCCGTCGGTGGCACGAGCAACAACAACAGCTGCTGTTGCTGCAGCTGCTGCCGCTCACATGGATGAGCCTGCCTCAAGGAAAAGAAGTGAACGCAAGGCTCGCACCGGCCGGCGCGGTTATAAATTATGGAGAGCGGGAATTTTTAGAGATTTGCGCTTAGCGATTTTAAATTTATTTTAACGTTACAACTGTGGGGGGGGGGGCCTTAAAGCATGCTATAAAAAAAGCTGGCAACAGTGGACGCTGAAACTGTTAACGGTAATCAGCTTTCCATTTGAAATGCTGCAGCCACTGCCACACCTCTCGCCCACACGCACAACTGACAATGCGCCACCTGGCCCACACCTGTGACCACAAATGCCCAAAAATTCGTATATAGTTTTCACGTTCATCCGCTTACAGAGCGCGGCTTTTGTTCCATTCCATTTCATGGCATGCCTGGCCTACAACTGCCTCCCCCCCACAACCCCGGCAATCCCCAGCATTTCCACCTCCAACCCGCCACCCAGCACTCTCGCAAGTGTTGCTACTGTTAGGGTGGCCCCAAATCAATTGCTCGCAACATGACTAAATCTTTTGGATACATGAAATTTGTTTAGTTTGCTCTGCTTTGGCGCCCCGCGTTCCGTGTGAAGTGTGCTCTCGATGGTGGGCGTGGCATGAGGTGGCGTAGGGATGCCCGATGGACCGGGCATTGATTACAACTGGCAATTTTTCAGCTTGTTGCACATTTGGCGTGTTATGTTGCATGCAACGTGCGGCTTCGCTGGGGCCAGGTGTTTGTTGTTCAAGTCGATTGTGTGTGATGAACAGCAACAGCAGCAGCAACAGCAGCAGCAGCAGCAGGCACACAAACGCATCAGATTACAGCCAGCTACAAAGAGGAATGTATTTTAACTTAATACATAAATACCTAGAAGCATGCACAGAAGCTAATTATTGAAGTGAATATGTAATATCTGAGCATGTTAACAATTCAAAGTGAATGCGTTTGTTATCCAGAGCTAATTATTGAAGTGAATAATATAAATAATGCAGAGTGCATGCAAAACGAGTTATTTGGGAGCTAATTATTGAAGTGAATAATATTACTAATTCATATTTAGTAATAATATTACTAATTCATATTTAGTAATAATATTACTAATTCATATTTAGTAAGCATTAATCATTAAATTAGTTTTCGATAAAGCTGTGCTTCAAGGGCCAAAAGATAAGTGGAAGATATGCGTAACAAGCACAAATTAACAAAGATGCTTTTAAGCGTTGTACTTACAAGAATAAGACTGTTGGATACCCTGTTATATATGGAAGAACTGTTTTAAGTAGATCCGGTTGAGCTTAGTTAAGTTATTGTTGAAAACTATACGACCTGCTGCCCGTGCACTGTCCGTATTAAAGGTAGAAATATGGCAAATTTTTAATTTTCGAAAGTATCTCTAAGATACAAAAGTATCTCTGAGATTCAAAAGTAGAATTATCTCTGAACTATCTATGTATCTCTGAACTATAAATGTATCTCTGAGTTTCAAATGTATCTCTGAGATACAAACGTATCTGCATGCATTTGTAAAATAAAATAGTATCTACAATAGTATCTGTGAGATATTTTGATATCTAAGCGATACAAAATTATCTGAGTCACCCCTAGAAGCTATAGGACATAGATACATTTCTTGAGTACGACTTTTTGACAAGCCCCCTTTAATTTCGAGTGTGTCGCTATGATATTGCATATCTGTCTAGTCTATTAAATGAAAACTTCTTTTAGCTGTGGGCTAATGCAGAATCGTCTACCTGAATCGTTAGTATTTTTATTTGTATTATTATTTCTTTTACAATTTTTTTTTCAAATTACCTTCACACATAAAAATTGGAGCTTTGATATTTTAGACATTTTAAAAATTTTCAAAAATTTTCTTATGCTTAAAGCAAAGCTTTATCTAAAGTGCAGCAAAGGCATAAAATGAATTCACTCGTAAGATTTTTGATATTCGTAGCATGTCTCAACCTACTATGCCTTATGCGATTACTTTACGAGGTATTCAAATAGTCGAATTGGTGCACCTCGAAGGCGAGAATCTCTTATCAATATTTTTATTCAAGGCTTCCTTTATATGACATTGAAGTTTGAACAGTTTTGGCATTTGTGATTTTTCGGTACAATTCAAAATTTCTATGCTAAATGGAGAAAAATATCAAACTCAGCTCTAAAAGCTACTACCAAAATACTGAAACCACACAAATACTTATACCTAAACCTAATACAATATTTATCTCTACGAACTGAAACCACATTATAAATATGGCATGCTTTAAGCGCGACAGGCTCGACTGCGAATGTCCCGTAGAGTGTCCGAAAGTCCAGCTAACCAAGGAACGTCGCTACACCTGGATGAATTCCAGTGGTTGCATAGTCAGTCGCCCGCTGACGAACTACGAGTGCCAGCTGGAGGATGAGGTGCAGAAGCTGCAGGATGCGCTATTTTCTTTATCCTCGCACTATGCCAAAATTCAGTTTCGTTTGCGTCAGATAGCCACAGCCTCGGGCTACGAGCAGGAGTGTCTGCTGCGCGAACTGGAGCGGGTCACATGCCAGGGCATCGATGACAGACACAACGAGCTGCCCAACCTGTTGAGCGACTCGCACAGGCTGGGCAATGTGCGTGGCAAGCAGCATAAGATCATCTCAGATATCAGGAGTCGGCTCACGAACCTGGCCGAAGTGACCGATGTCTGTTTCTGCGCAGAGTCCGAGAGTAGCTACAATTTGCGTAGACACCATCAGCGAGAGCTGGACGAAGCGCCTTTCGAGGAAACACCATTACCTGCCACAGAGGAGCATGAGAAGAACTGTTCGTGTGTCGTTTGTCAGGAACGTTTGGAGGAAAAATGCAAAGTGCCAGCCTATGAGCGGGGTTTTCTGTCGGAGACCTGGCCAAACGAGGACTGCATTGAAGAAACCCAAACCCAAACCAAGCAGAAGAAGAAAAAGTCTAATAAATATAGTCTGGAAAAACTATTAATTGAGCAATCGAGCCTGTTAAATCCAAGTCGCACCGGTGCAAGCCGCACAGTTATAAGTTCTGCTAGTGGTAAAAAAGGTCCCAAGGAAGTAAATTCCATGCAAAGAAATTCACGAATCAGCGGCGTACAAAGCGCCAGAAGTCTCAATCGCACAGTTTCTGTTAACAGTAAAAGTAAATCGAAAAGTAATCAGGAAATTAAAAGACAAAACAAAAGTGTAGTGCAAAAGCCACCAACGCAAAGCTCTAAATGCTGGCAAGTGCAACGCAGAAAATCTAACGAGCCGCAAAAATTCTCGCCAAGAAACTCGAGAATGCAAAACGCTTTAGATGCAGCTGAGGCTGGGGAAAAGTGCGTGCCTGGTTGCAAATGTCCGGGATCGAAGCGCATGAGTCAACGGGACCTTGCATTAATGCAAAACTACAAGACTCAAATGGAGCTGAAAAAGAGCAAGTCTAGAAATAGAGCTCAGGGCTCTAAGTTGAAAAACGATATAGAAGGTAATACAGAAACAGAATCGACACGGAGATGCCAGAGCTGCTGCAGTAATCCTGTAGAGTATAAAACGAAAAACACGAATATGAATGGAGCCAAGGACACAAACCGATTTAAACCACAGAGCTGCACAACGCTATACTCTGGCAATCAAGTAGAGCATAAGGGGAAAACGACAAATTTCAAAAAAGCCAAAGAATCACCACGAATAAGTCCTCAAGGCTCCGAAATGCAATACTACAAAAATCATGTTGAGATACGAAGAGACAGCAAGGTCAAGTCTCAAAATTTCAAAGCAAGTTGCCCACAGACCTGCATAACGATATGCCCCGGCAATCAGGCGCAACAAAATGTGCATATCAAGAGATCAACACGCTGTAGCATTCAGAACTCACTGCTGCAATACCCAGACAATCAAGTAAAGCACAAAAATAAAAGCATTCATAACAATAGTGCTAGGGAATCACCCCGTAGTAGCTCACCAAGCCCGAGAATTCAATCTCCTCCCGAACGAGTAGAGCAGACTAAGAGCCTGAAGGCAAGTAAATCCACATACAGAGCCCAATCGAACGGACAAAGTACTCCTCCAAGTGAGTTAATGCAATGCGATGGAAATCAAGATGCTTGTGAGATAAGCAAGTCCAGCATTAGATCGAAGGAATCTCAACAGCGCCCGGCCAAAAGAGTGCAATACCAGAATCTGGATTGTGACTGCGAAAGCGATTCGGAGCTAAGTTCCGGTTGTCAAAACCACCAACAAGACAGCAGCCAAGAAACCGTCCATAGCCGGGAAACCGATTGCAGGGAGGGAGATACACAGGTCCCAAGGTACAACTGTGCCTTGGCAGAGATGTCCACATGTTTTGTTCATAAGCGCAACGCAAGAACATTATGCGATGAGCGATCTTGTACGGGTGTTTGTTCTAAAACTTGTACATGCTGGGATCAGCTGCCGGATGAGAGTAGCAAGAAGCCAAGCAAAAAAGAATTGAAAACTTGTGACAAGGAAACCTGCGCTATTAAGCAGGCTAAAAGGCAGGCGAAAAAGAAGCCCGAAAAGAAAGAGAGCAAAAAGGATTTGAAATCAAAATCCATGACCATGATACCAAACGTAAAGCCATTGACACCAGCACTAAAGCCTCCACGCAACTTTGTCGAGAGCCAGAAGAATAGTTACCTAATCTATCCAAATGTTCCCGCCAAATATGGTTCGCCAACCAAAGAGAAATGTGGTCGACGTTTCTGTAGATTGTTTTGTAACAAGCTAAGCAGAAGCTCGGTAGATCCAAATATTAAGAAGAAGCCTGACAAAAAAGAACTTAAACTAAGCGAAAGCCTCACTAACCCCTGCCCACAAACGTCAAACAGCCAAGGCCGCGAGACTGTGCTTCAAGAACTAAAGTAAGTAAACTAAGATTCAGTGCCTAAAGCGAAGCTAACACACACGATTTGTCCCAAAGGTCTCGCTTCAGAGCGAAAGAGTCGAGCGCAAATGAGGGAGGCTGGCGACTAGTTAAGCTATAATCATAAGTTATCTTAAAACACTCTCAAACAATGGCAGGAACTCTCTGGAGCCACGTTGAAAGTGTTTTAGTTTAGTTTAGGATTATACTTGCTTCCAATAACTGGTAGATCGTATGATTTATATTGTATGATGGCATGTTATGTAAGCCGTAGTAAATGTTAACTGGACTCAGGTTCAGCAGATGTGCCATGCCCAGGGTCTTGGGTGAGTAATAGGCTGTAAAGAATTCATATATATATATAGATATAAATTAAATATTTCACTCAGAGATCATCTCACCATAGGCAGAAGCTGGCTCCTGCTGTTGATCTTGGCCAAGAATACCAAAGTGCAAAGTCAAATGCGTCTGTCATTATATAGAAGTTTAGTGTTTGGATATTTAGTAAAATAATAAAGAGCTCTCTATATATTGTTGTTTATAATTCAACTCGATATGCTTTTGTGACCGAATCTCCAATTGGAGCTGTCTGTTTGGTTTGGATTATCAATTATTTGGCGATCCCAAGTGCAGCCTGCAAATCTCTGACAAAACCAACAATTTTATTGACTCAGAATCGTACAGATAGTACGCTACCCTAAATGCTGCTGGCCATGGTCATTGAACCCCGGCCAGCATCCCCTAACCGGCGCTCTCTACCAAGGCTAACACACACAATACGCCTGAATCAAGGGAACCAGTTTTTATAGTCGTGACGCGTCGCAGCCAGCGTTTTGGCAATTTTCCGCGCATGTCGAAAGTATTTTTGCAGTCTGTTAGGTAGAGGACCGTGCCGTACCCGTCTAAAGGGCCAGATCGTATGGACCGCATTGAGGGTTGTTTTCTCTCTCTCTCCCTCTCATCTCCTGGCAGCAACCGTCGCCTCATTGTTCTAGCAGTTTCCCATCCGATTCATTCATGAGTGCGCCTGTGCCGTCGTCTGGCCTGTCTGCTTAAGGGCCTCCTTCTAAGTTGGTCTATAACGCTTTTGGCATGCCCACATCTGTTTACCCCTCGTCGCTCGCTCACCGTTGCTCATCCTCATGCTTGTCCCATGGCGCATGCGCTGCTGGGCTTATCTATTGTCTCATTGTCGACTGGTTTTTATGACGCCTTCCGTTTTAATGGTCTCAACGTCCCGTCCTGAGCGTTTCTGCCTGACATCTGGCCAAATGTGTGTGTGTGTTGGGCCCATACGACTAAGGGTTAGCCGTCCGCACGCATTTGTGTCAGATATGCTAATAGTCTGGCATGTTTAATGATATTCGTATAGCAATGTGAGATAAAAGCAGTTTGTTGTGTGAAGATGGCAGATAAGATACCAATAGATAATCGAAAACGTCGCATTGCCACGGATTTGGCTATGGGATGCATTACAAGTCGGAGTAGAACACAATTTCAGTGCATATTATTGGGCAAGAAGTACTTTTACACTTATTCAAAATATATGTATGTATTAAAGCAATATAATTGAACATATATTTTGTATCATTTGTATTATTAACCTTTACAAATCTACACAAAATCGAATCAACAAGGGCTTTCTATAATGTACGTATTTTATTTAACTTTTCTTTTATATATATATGTATATATATTTATATAAATATATTAATATGTATTTACAACGCTTTGCAAACGGTTCAGAAAATGTTTACGAAAATATTTGTTGAAGAAACTATAAATAGATTTAATAATATATTTATATAAAATGCTAATATATTTAATATGTATTTGCCACTTTAGAACTTAAAAGAACTTAAAAGATCACAATGCTGCAATTCTCTACGCATTGGCAAGATTTCAAATGTTTTCGGTTCGAAATGAACTTGAATTAAGAACTATTTAAAAAAAAAATATATAAAGAAATTAACGTAAATTACGAGTTTCAGTTGTTCGTGTGATGAGACGTTGGCTAAGATAAGCTTTAAATATCTATATAAGACATGTTCCAGAATTAGTTAGTAAATTCTTTAAATTTGGCAGCATTAGGAAAATAAATAATTATTTCAAAAAATATGAATTTAAGACATGTTCTTTTTCCATATATGTGTATATTCAAAGGCAAAAAGATTCAAAGATAGATTCAGGCTGCAGCGAAAAACTGGAACACTTTGTTTAGATACATTTGTGTATGTATGCATCGACTTAGAACTAAATTAACGTTTATAATAAACTAAATCTCATACATTTCTAACTTTCTTTGTCTTTGTTGTTGTGTCTTTTCATAGAGTTCATATTTGTATTTGTTTTTTTTTTTTCTTTGTGTTTTTGCTTTTTTTTTTTGGGCATAGCTTTAAAGAAGTTTTCCATAGGGGCTGCTACATTTGGTATAACTACGTATTGTTCCTTTTTTTTTTGGCATGGCACAAATTTGGCATTGAAAATTGTTCGTTTTATGGCAAATTGAGAGAGAAAGAGAGAGATAAACAATTGAATATGTGTGGTAAATTATTGGCAAGAAAACATTTTGCTTTGAGCAGCTGCATTAATCCATAATGAGCTCTACTTCTTTTCTCTGCTACGACTTAAAAACTAGAGTTAACCCAGAAACCCGGAACCCAACCCAAACCCGGAGACCCCACCCAGCGCCTATTTGGCCGCCTCGCATTGCTGCATCTGAACAACCAAGAGGAGTATGCGATTCATTAGATTGTCCGCCTCCGAATCCTCCATGCTGTTCAGCTTGGCCGATATGAAGCCACAGAATTTGGAATTGAGCACCTCGCGCACCGTTTGCGGTGGCGGCAGCTCCAGACCGCCAGCCACAGCTGCGACGCTCTGTTGTTGCCTGAGATGACGATGCTGTTGCAGCATTTGATCCTCATAGTCGTCACCATCCAGATCCGCATCCTCCAGCTCATCCGTTTCGCCGTTGCGGCGACGCTTGCGCGGTATTGCCGTCTGCCCGACCTCGGGGCCGCCGCTGATGCTGTGCGGCGAATTGGAGTCGAGTATGATGGGATAGGGAAAGTCCGCGTCGATGGCCTCCAGCTCCTCCACCTCGTCGGAGGCATTGCCGCCATCCTCGTCGCCGCTGCGCAACGAGCTGGCGTCCATGTCGTCATAGCTCGGCTGGTTTGCCTGCCCAGCGCCGCTGTCGTTGCGCGTAGAGCTCACGCGGCTGTCGTTGTGCTGCGCCTGCGCCAGCGCCAGCGCCTGCTGGTGAGCGGGCAGCGGCTGCAGGGGCTGCAGTGCATCAATGGGCCTAGTGCTGCCGCTGCTGCTGCCGCCGCTGCTGCTGCTGCTGCCGCCACCTCCGCCGCCGCCACCAGCGTTGCCGCCGCCCGTTGACAGATCCAGCTCCGGCTTCACATAGTAATCGCAATAATAATCCTCGTTGCTCATGTTCAGCGCCGAGCACTTGGACAGGTTCAGCACGGCGCTCGAAGAGTCATTGAAGGATGAGGTGAGCTTCAGCGCAGCAGCAGCTGCTGCAGCCGCTTTGCTGCCGCTCAGCATGCTGTGATTGTTGTTGTTGCTGCTGTTGTTGTTATTGTTGTGCAAGTGCTGGGCAAAGGCGCTCAGGCTGAGATCGCTGGCATGTGAGGCGCCCCTGGAAGAAAGAGTTCGAGTTTAGAATTCAGTTTAGAATATTATATAAATGCAAAAGTGTGGGAGCTAGGCCAAAACGAGCTGAAGACAAAGTAGGGTTCCGTTTAGGTTCGGCTATTGCTTATCCAACTTATTCGCTTTAAGATGCGGTTTATGGTAACAATAAAGTGGTTATTCCTGGCTTAAAACAGTTCGATGTGTCGTTGATCTACATTTCACTCTGTTAAGATTGAGCCCCTACGCACTCGCGTCCCTCTTTCTGCCATGCCAAGCCAGACACTTACAAAGAAACAGTTTCCAAAAATAACAAGACAATGAGGATGAACGCCAACAACCCCAAGGCACAATCAAAAAGAAACGTGCTCTAACAAACCCCAATAGAAAATACGAAACTACCCAAAAAAGAATTCATGTTTTCGAACTGATTTCGCTCCGGTTTAGTGTCTAGATTCAGGGCTGCTTTCGGGCTGCGCTACTCAAATTTCAGGCGCATTTTCCAGTGCCAGAGCTGCCACAGCTGCCTGGATGCCTCAAACGTTAAAGACGTGGCTATTTTTAGACCCAACGACGGGGCTTGGCCCAGTCGAAACAGGCAGCGGATCCAGGACGTATGCCCCGGAGGGCAGGTAGTTGACAATTGGAACTGTAAAATGATATGCGAGGCGAGCGTTTTTCACATTTTTCACATTTTTCATGTTTTTCACATCTACATCGAGTGCCAACTAAATAATCAGGGCCAAATGCATTTTCACATGTTCCAATAGACGAATCGCTCTCTATTTGCTTGCGGCTTCTGCGGTTCCTTTGGACATTCTCAACATATATGTATTTCTTTGTTTGCTTTCGTCTATTTTTCTATGTCTTATCAATGTTTGCTTCCGCTGGGCCCAGACCCAGGCCAGACCCAATAATGGACAGTTTGCATTTCTATTTAATTGCGTAGCTCATTATGCTCAATATGAGGAATTCCAATTTTTACGTTTATCAGCACCAACAACTGACGCCCAAAACCAATGGTCAAATTTCCGCTGTTAGCTGAGCTGAGCTGATCTGAGCTGACTTGATAAGCCAAAACAAATGGACAAAGTTTGAGTCAAGTCAAAACAAATAGTTCGCGTGGTTAAAAATTATTGATGGCCCTACAAAAAGCAGGCCCAAGCGTAAATCTTAGACAAAGAAAGGAAAGTGCTTACAAATTAAATAGAATTTCTGAATTAGTATTATGTTAAATATAGGTTCCATAGTGGTACAAAGTTAAACGAAATATTTAAGCTGCGATTAAGCTGAACGATGAAAGACAATATAATAGAGATATTCCCCAGAAAATTAGTTAGCAATGTTTTTCGTTTAAATATGACACACTTTTTGAATTTGAAAAATTTGTCATCTGGATACGTATAATAATGAAAGCCTTCAAAATCCGACTATATTCCACAGAAATATTGTTTTTTGGTTACCTTAAGTTTGATCGAAGGCTAGAAATATTCTATTACTTGCAAGACTTTTGCATTGTAATATTCCAAGAACCTAGAAAATAGTCTTAATTAACTTAAAGCTATGCTGTCCTTCTTCTGATCTATAAAAAAGGAATAGAATAATAGCTCTGAATCGACTGCTAGAATATCGTATAAGCTAAATAAATCGATAATTATCGATAACAGCAAAGAAAAGGATAACTTCGATGAGTGGAAAACAAACCATTTGAGAGGGAATTCATAATACGATAATCACCAGATTTGGCTGAAAGTAAAGGTGATAAGCCTAAGCTCTTATCGATCAGTTACAACAGTATATAGTAAGGTTAAAAATGACTGATCGCCCAAACACACTAAACAACACCTTTGACAAGCAAGCTCGAACATTTTTGTCGAGGTACTCTCGACAATTACAAAATCAAATTAAACATAAACGTCAATTACTTAATCTGAGTAAATATTTTCATAACCTTTACGATATATGGAGAGCAGGGGCTATTGCGCAAATTGGGTATACGCCCAGTATTTTTTTTTTTTTTTTTTTTTTTGTTGTGGGGCAAGTGACGCATATGCAAAAATATTTTAGTGAGCTGCTTTCCTCTGAATGTCAGCTGAGATTTTTTGTATGGGGCGCGGCTGGTCAAGCGATTCGGTTCGATGTCGGCGTGGGGTGTGCTGGGAGGGGAGGGCAACAATAATTTCATCAATTTTTCAGCTCATTTGCTTATTAAATCATAAGCGTGACACACGGAGCCGAGCACGACACGAGAGCGAAAAGCACGAACGCTCTGGCCAGACCCTGGTCATCAGCGTTGGCGATCAACCCCGTTCGTTGGCTGGTCCGTTAGCGCACACTTACATGCCCATATGCATGTACATACATATGTGTGTGTATTTTTAACCCTGGCCCGCCGTTTGGCTGCGACGCCTCAATTGCTCGATCAAACACAAGCGCACAGACACACACACACACACACATGCGCACATGCTCGCATGCACACATGCAAACATGCATGCGCGCACGCACGCACACGCAGGCACAAACGCTCACTTACACTAACACACACACACACACACACACACACACACACAGATTGGCATGCCGAGCAAATTTTTAATCTACGCTTCTTTCTAAACTTGGTCCACTCGCCACAATCACTCATCGCGCGCGTTCGCTTTGTCCGTCTGCTGATTGTCATTCTCTCATATTTGCTGCCTCTCATTGCGTTAATTTATCACGCTCTCTCTCTCTCTCTCTCCCTCTCTCTCTCTCTATCTAACTGTTGCCCACTCGCTCTCATTGGCTCTCTCGCTCGCGCATTCGTTTGCCTGCTCGCTCGGCCACCACCAGCAGCTAAGGCTAAAGCGTTTTGTTGGTTTTTGCAGCTTCCCTCGATTTTGTTTTTGGTTCAAGTGGCGATGCCGACGACAACAACAACAACAACAACAACAACAGCAGCAGCAGCAGCAGCAGCAACGGCAGCGTCGGCGTTGTATAATTTTCGCTCTGGACAAGATCTGTTTTTATGGCTCAAGCCGCGGTCCCGGGCCCGGCCCGTTCCGTTCCGTTGTCTGTTATCAGCTCAAAATAATAAAAATTTAAATACATTCATGTGTGTGTGTCTGTATGGCTCTCTCTCTGTGTGTGTGTGTGTGTGTGTGTGTGTGCGGGCATATGTGGACCCGGGACTGTCGACTGTGTTGCCGCAGCTCTGGTTGCTGCTGCTGCTGCCGATGTGGGTACAGTCAATTGAAAGGAAATGGCCTTATTTCATATAAATATATGTACATAAATACAAGTACAACACACTCGCACACAGCCTCACTCATAGAACGACAAAGTGACAGAGCGTGGCGGGGATGCGGGGCGGCGTATGCTCCACATGAGCCGCAACATCGCAGAATCACAAACTGGCGGCCCCATGCCCTGAGCCTGGTCATTTCTTTGTTCGAATTGGTTTTTTCCGTGCAACGTTTTTCGAGATTTTCGCATATTTACATAAGCATGCTGTCTGTATGTGTGTGTGTGTGTGTGTGTGTGTATTGGGCAGATGTTTTTCCAGAGGCTTAGCTGAGATTTGTCTGGTTCGCAATGCTTCAGGTTCTCGTCATGCAAATTGCAGAGAGCTGCAGCCACGATAAAAGGGAGCAACATGGTCACAAGCAGCACAAGATATGCGAAGGACTCTCAGCAGCTCGAAGAGAACTCATTCATAACTCATTTATTGAAAATACCCAAACCTTGGTTCAAAAACTATATCGAAAGCTCGAGCTGAGTCGAAAATTGTCAATTCTATATATGTCTTCTCGAAATATCATGCATGAAAAAAGTAACTTTCATATTGTGACTCATCATATGTAAATATTGTGAATGGAAAGTGCAACAGGCAAATGGAAAAATTGACAAAGCACCGATTGCGATAAGAGTTTAAAGACAATCTAGAATGCATTAAACTTCGATTTGTAGATAAAAGACGTTAAGATTTATAGCTTCATAATTTCGGGCTTATCGAAAAGAAAGTTTCCAGGAACAGGCCTCTATCAATTGCTATATATGACATATATGTATCTGAAGCTTAATCCAACTGAGTTAAAGGTCAATTTCGGAGAATAAGCAGCAGGCATAGAAATCTTCAGGTGAAGCCCACAGAATGAATCGCCTTCTGCCATGTTTCGCTTCACTGAGCAACAATAAGAACCTTATATGTATTGCAAATACATGCACACATACACATATACACACATGCCGTATATAAATACACGTTTACGTCCCCAATAAGAATATAATATGCGCCATCATTTCAATTTCAATTTCAAAACAAGATCGATTGAGTCATCCGCGGAACGTGGAACGTGGCAAAGGAAACGTTCTGGCGGCTGGCTGGCTTTGGTTAGATTCTAGATTCTTAGCTTTTGCTCTTTGCACTGAAACGCGCTGAAACAAAAAAGCGAATGCAAAAGACAGCAAAATACTTATAAAATGAAAACAAGAAAATCAACTCTGGAAATTCATAATATTAAATGTGCTCTTTGTTCGGGACCCAGAGTCCAAGGCGTGTATCGGACGTGAATCAAATGCAATATGACAGTAGTTAATGCGCCTGCCTAGGGCTTAAAATAATGTTTCGCCTGAAAAACCAAAACCAAAACCAAAACCAAAGCGACGACGCGCTCAACAGAAAGAACTGTTATTCATACTTTGAGGCCGATCTTTGTCCACACCCCCCCCCCCCCTTACTCCACCAGCTCCTGCATTGTTATCGCATATCGGACCCAACGCCACTTGTAATATTAGTCAAAGACCTCGCCCGTGGGGCAGGGAGAGACAATGGAATAGACGCTGATTGGAAAGTGACCAAATTCAGGTGGGTGTAAGCCGAGCTCCTGATAAGACAGCCGCAATGTATTGCGAACAAGGTTTTCGAATCATTTCTAGGTTATTCATACACACACACACACACACACACACACACACACACATGCATACATACATGCGTACGTATCTAGAGTCCACAGTTGTTATGGAACGCTTAAGGCAAAATTCGATTAGGCTGAGCCCTAAAATTAAAACTGACAAAAAAATTAAAGATTTAAAAAAGAAGAGCTAAGAATGCATATTTAAAGATAATAAAAAAAGTTACATAAAAGAAAAAATAATTGTAATATATAATTTTTTATAAAATCCTCTTATAATCTTGAAGAATTTTTAGTGAATATTTTGAGCGAAAAAAAAAATAACAAAAACTCCTCTACTAATTTCAGGAGAGCTAAAAATATATGCATTTTCCATATACATTATTTTTTTCTGTTTTAATTATCAACAAGTGTCTAAGCTTGCGCTTTTTTTTTTTTTGGGACCAGCCTAATTATAATATTAACTTGTTAAGGGTTGTGTGTTTTGATATTGTTCCGTACTCACTTTCTTTCCCTGATGACATCCCTTAAGAAATCCATGGCCTCGTACAGGCTCCATTTTGGCTTAAATCCATTGCCCATCAATTTGACATGGGCCAACTCGCGGCGATAAGATTCGCGCAGCGATTTGAAGGCGCGGGCCACGCGACGTCCGGGCGCATTGAATTCCCGGCCGATGTGCTCCCAGGCGCGATTCTTCTCCTCCTCGGCGCCCTTGAAGTTGGGCAGACGGGAGTCCCACAAAATGGGATTATCGTGCACCATCTGGATGAGCTTCAGCTTGTCGGAGGCGTTGCGACGCACCACTGTAAAAGAGAATGAGGGGAAATGTTGTTGTTGTTGTTGTTGTTTGTGGGTGCAAGGATCAGGGGAAGTGGGAAGTCTGGTTGTACGCACACTTTTTGATCTTTTGAGCGGGCACCACGGCCAATTCGACTTTGGGCTTCATATCCAGGGCTATGGCCGCGGCGGCTGCGCTCATGTCCTGCAACGAATTGGTTGTGGTGGGTGAGGAACCCGATGAGGCGGCAACGGCGGCGGGCGCCATTAGAATCTGTTGTAGTATGTGTAGATTAATGTTTGCAGCTTTTGTTGTTGGCCAGCTCGACAACCAGGTTCACTTTTTTTTTGTTTTTTTCACTTGACCCAGAGTTCACTTATCACATTCACTTTACTGTTGCGTTTTGCCAGCGCGATCGATTGGGTGGCAATAGATGAGGACGGGGGCTGCTACCCTCTCACGACCAAGTTTAAACAGCAACTAAAAACCAAAACCAAAAAAATAACAACCACCGCGAGTTGTGACGGCCGCGACAACGACAACATCGACGACGTCGGCAGCGCTGCTAGCAGCAAGCCCGCATTTTCGATGCGGAGCCAAAACCTAGAAGAAACGCTGGCTTAGCATGCCGAACATGCAATACCCTGAGCGTATTGCCTTACGAATTACGCCTTAGAGGCCGACGCTAATGCTTCCGAGTTAATGATAAAATCCGAATGCTCGACACAAGGGTATGAAAACACAAACACGACTCACACACACGCACACAATCACACACACACGAGCCAAATAAAGAACCAGGCGCAGGCGAAAGAGCCACAAAAATCACGCGCGCTCAACATGCGCGCACTCTGCCGCTCTCTCAGTCGATTACGCTCTTTGCCTCTGCTTGGGCCAATACACAACGTGTGTGCGCGGCGGCATTACCGTTATCGACGCCTGCGCCGGCGTCGCCAGAAACGAACGATAGCGCACGATGCGCGTATTGAGCTCGAAGAGCAGTCCAGGCCGTTGGCTCGGCTCGCTTCGGCTCTCTCTCTCTCTCTCGGCTGGCTGGCGTTCAGACGGAAAAACGCCGTTTAATTGCAACAGAAAGTAAAAGCGAGCAAAAGAAAGAGCGCAAAAAAACAGAGCGACCGAGACGACAACGTCACTCACAAACACACACACACACAGAGAGAGAAACAAATCAAGAAATGAAATTATGTGTAACACAAAAATCAGTTGACGCGTTTGCATCGCTGACGTTTTTCAGTAGCCTTCGTCAATTCTACTTTGCGTTGTTATTGTTGGAGATGGGCAAATTATATTCTAGGCACCCTACACTCGAGTCTTAGGATATTGTTGCAATCACAAAAATATGGATTTTGCAAAAGCTTGATGGGAGATTGATTATTCAATAACAAACCAAAATACGCCCTATTGCATAATGAAATCGTAAGAGTTTATGGGTTTATCATTAAACAAAAATTAACGGAAAAGGCTTATCAATTTGCAACTACATATTAATATAGTATAATCCAAATTAAAGACATATTGAATAAGAAATTCATAGATGTAGGGTGATTTCTTTGCCTGCCATTGCCGCCCCTTTTCGACTGCATTCATTAATCGGCTACTTTGTAGCTGAGCTAGCGGCTGAAGCTCGAGCCGTAGCTCACGCTCTTCCACTTTTCCACTCCCTTTTCCACAATTGTTGCACTTACATACATACAAAAATATTTCATCTTCCATTTTCGCTGCATTCGAGTGTCTGCAGTTCTTAAGAGGGAATGAGTGAAATTTTTTGTGTGCGCGTGTGTGTGCGATTGTGAGAGGGGAGCGTTGGGGAGCGCGGCAGATTTGAGCCCGCTTAGCGATGGCTCTCTTCAGTTTGGTTCGTTGACGGTGGTGGCAGCGGCGTTGGCGTCTGTGCCAGTGTGTGCCTGAGGTCGCGTTCAATTGCGTTTTAGTTGAATTTATTAATATGCCCACATTTTGTTTTTGTTTTTGTGTGTTTTACATTTGCTTCTGCTTCGTTTTACGTCTGCGCTTTGTTGCCTTGTTTTGCAGCCGCGGTCGCGCAGTCTCGTAGTTCAGGCTCTTGTAAGAATTTACAAACAACATTTGGAGCACACATGTTGAACAAGACGACACTGAGCGAGAGAGAGAGAGAGAGAGAGAGAGAGAGAGCAAGAGAGAGCACATATAGATAAAGCGTAGAAGCGAGTCCGATTTATTGTACGCGTGTGTGTGAGTCTTGTGGATGTTAATGCCCAACATTTGTGTCTTGCAACGTTTTGTGCGCTGCCCATTGCAAACGGCGATAACAACAAAATTCCCGTGCATTCATTTAAGCCGCAGAAACCCAGTAAGTATAAGCGACAACTCGACGCTGGCAAAAAACGGACAGTGGGTGAGAGCGAGCGAGCGAGCGAGTGAGAGAGAGAGGGAGGAGAATGGCTTTTGTCTGTATGTAATTTATGCCTAATGAACTATTTCCGGCCAAGTGTCAATTAATGTATTCTGTGTATTCTGGCCCTCGGCCTGCCCCATACAGGGCACAAGGGGGCAGCAGCAATAACAACAACAACAACAACAACAACAACGTGCCCGCACAAATATTGTGATGATCATTTCTGGCAAAACTGAAAGAAAACACAAAGAAAAAATCTGTAAGCCCCAACACTCCCCTTGCCTGTCGTTCACTTCCACTTTGGAGAGCGCGCTCGGAGCTGCCGCTTCCGTTGCAGCCTTTGCTTTTCTTTATCTGCTTCTTCTTTTGCATTTTTTCAAGCCAAATTAAAAGTCATGCAAGCGAAATTCGTTTTCTACTGCTGATTCAATTTTCGTTTGTACGAGATTAATTTTTATTTCTGAAAAACGGTTTGTTGGAATTCGTCCAGCGCTTATTGTCAACTGTAGGCTATACGGGGTGAGGATCACTTCAGTTAGAACATGGACATGTAGAGATATGGAAAACAAAATGAATGAGAAGATGGGTGATGTTCTGCAATAATGAGGAAGAAGATAATCAAGATTCTGTAGAATAATATTCGTAAATCAATCAAAAAATCATTTTGTTAATTTGTATTTTGTGACAAATAAAAGAAATAATTTTCATAGGAATGTGTTTAGGCTATAGAGAATGTTGAAAATGTTGAATATAATTTAATAACTTCTACTATAGAACAAAGTTAATATATGCACACACACATACAAACATATCTAAACATAGATAGCTTTAGATATTCAGTCGAATGGGACAAGACTTGATTTTTTGGTACAATTTGTGGGTACAATCGGAAATACCTATGGGACCTATGGCCGGGCGCAGCGTTTGCTTATCAGGCAAATTAATCACAAATTCAATGCAAATACCCAAAGTGGCTCTGGCTGTAAATAAAGCCAATAAATATTGACACAGGTCAGAAACCGAATAGAGTGGAACACGAAGATGGTACGAACGGCAAGTGGGAAGGGAGCCGATGTTAGGGGAGCCCAGGCATAACGATCGTAACTGTTGCCGTTTTCGCTTTGCACTGTTACCCGTTACCCGAGTAGTCTATGGACTCGATAAGCCCGAAAACGAACCCTCAATGAAGCCAAGCCCAACCCAAGTCAACTAAATTCAATCAGGCAATAAAAATGTTATAAATGGGGAATGTGTTTGTGTCAACAGCGGAAGATGGCAAAAGAGAGAGGGAAAGGGGGCTGGGGTCGACCCATCCAGACCAAGTTGAAAATATACATACATATATATATATATATATATATATTTCCAACCAACATTTTGTGTGTGGTTTATTTGTGATGAAGCAATCGACGCAGGCGCAACATTTGTCAGCCGATTAGAAAGAAGAAGCAGACAACTTGGATAACAAATAGTCAAATAGATGGGGAATCGAGTAACACGACTCAAGAACCGTTCGAGCAATCAAGCAAAACGAGCTTGAAACGCGAAAAATCAGTTGACGTTGTTTTTGTTGTTGGCGCTGAAATATTTAAATTTTGACCCAACCCCAATCCAAATAAATTTGTGGCGTAATGCGTGCAGCTGTTTGCGGCTCTCTCTCTCTCTCTCTCTGTCTCTCCTTTTCTCGCTCACTCATTCTCCCCACCCTCTCTCTTTCTCTCCCTCTAGCAATGTCTCTTTTGGTTACTTCGGCTCTCTGCTTTACGGTTTCAGTTTCAATTTCAATTTCTGCTTCGGTTTTCTCTGCGTGCTGTACTCGCATTTTGGTCTCTTGGGGTCAAAAATTGTCGCATATCGTTAAGAACCGAAAATCGACAATGCGTCCGTCCGTAAAGCGAACGAAGAAACGTCGCAGTATCGAAATTGGCCATGTGCTTGACGATTCGTAACGGAGTGTTTGAAGAGCATTGGTAGGGGTATATGTCGAGAACAGAGATGTACTTAGAAGAGATGTAAATGTATGCGTACAGCTGGGCATTCAGTTTAGGGCCTGACACCTTCCCACAAATGTCCATGTTCGTTCAAATACATAAATCATTTTCGTTTTCGGATCATTTGCATCGCGTGAACTTTTCTCTTATGGTCAGATCCTATCTCTATAGCAGTCACTTCTCTTTTATGTTTTAATTAAATTCAATAGATTTTAAGTTTGCTAAGAGATTCCACTAGGGAGAGTTGTCTTTATAATTATTTCTTTATTTTTAAAACAAGTTTGTCATTATCTCTAAATTCCTCTTCTTCAGAAAGCCTTGCCTTGAGAACTGTCTTTAAAATCATTTATCAATCAACTCATTTATTTAGTAAAATATTTCAAGTTAAAGTTTTCTAAGCCGTGCTTGAATTCGCGAGAATCGCGTAGAAAGGCAGCTTTTAAGTGAAAAGGAGAAAGAGGAAGAATGGTTCTATCAAAGTTATATCAGCAGAGATTGTGAGGCCCTTTAGAAAATACAAAATACCAAAATCTAAGTGAAAATCGCATAGAAGGGTCATTTGTAAGAAAGGGTAACAGAAAATTAAGAAATTCTTTTTAATTATTGTTATTTTAATTATGTTATTATTATAACATGCATTTAATTTGTTTGCAGACTGCGCTGTTCTTACTACTTAAAGGAAAAGGCATTAAAATTAAAATCTTAACACATAATTCTGTTGCAATAAGTGCAGTTAAAAGGGTAAGTCATTATTTAAGGCCTTTAACTTATATATATGTGTATATATATATTAAGTAAGGGACAATTGTAAAATAGCTAATGAAGCGCAGAATAATCAAAAGCTAAAACCGCAAGAGTGCGCTGAATAATCGATTGCTGCGTTATCACGATAAAAAATGAGCTTAGCCAAGACACAAACCGCCTAAGCTGCACGTGCAGCCCGCATAACTCAACAAATTCGCTCTACACTCAGATGTTGCCAAGAGTTGTTGTTGTTGTTGTTGCTGCAGATGTTGTTGCTGTTGTTGTTGTTGTTGTTGTTGTTGCTTGCATGTGTTGCCAATGCTTTTTGCTGGCTGTTGCATTTTTAAATTAATAAACAAAATAAGTTGAGTCAGTCGGCAGTCGGCACTCGGCACTTAAGTAGCATTACATATGTATGCATATACACATATGTACAATTATGTGTGTGTGTATCTATGAGATACTTGTATTCATTAGTTTACCCCAGCGGCAGTCACCAATCAAAAACGTTTTGCTGCGCTCTCAGTTCCGTTTATTGCCCATTGTTGTTGTTGTTGTTGTTGTTAGCTGGGCCCTCGGTTTTGTGTTTGTAATCGCGGTTTATTGTGGGCCAGCACTTGGGTAAGCCTCATACATAGATTGTTGTTTTGTTGTTGTTGTTGCTGCTGCTGCTGCTGCTGCTGCTATCGCTTATCGTGCGGCGACGTTGATTGTTGTAATTGCTTTAAGTTGCTGCTGTTTGTTGCTGTTGCTGTTGTTGCTGTTGTTGCTGTTGCGGTTGCTGCTGCTGGCCATTGGCCGTATTTACTGATAATATAGGGCTCAGGCTCTGGCTCTGGCTTTGTCGCTGGCTTCGGGCATACTTTTAAATGCCTGCCTCGAATTTTCCACACGGACAAGCTGCATATTAAGTCTTTGCCCATATGCTGCTTATCTCTGGAGTCGCTCTCTTATTCTCTGACACGAACAACTTCCATTTGTTGTTTTATTACTCAACTCAGCTTACCTTTAAGAGAGCGAGAGAGAGAGTGAGGGGGGGGGGGAAGGGAAACAATGATAAAAAAGCAAAAAAAAACTTTCTTTAACTTTAACCCCATGACTGGCATTGTTTGTTTTCCTTTTTGGCGCACATTGGCCCACACGTCCGTTGCAAAATGAGAACAGAAAAATTTAATTAACAATTTACAGCAACATTTCGACACAAAACAACAAAACAAAATCAAAAACAAGAGCATATAAGCAATTGATTAAATACACAACTGTGATATACCCTTTGTTTGTTTATAGGAAATTTAATTTGTAGAAAAATTTATTCTTTTTAAGAGAAATACAATACAAAAATCTGATTCAAGGTTTTTAAAATAAGAAAACAATTTTTTAGTTAAACTTGTAATTCTCAGCTCAATAATTTTCTAGGGTATTTTATGGGAATATCATATTTATCTTAGGGAACAAGCCAGGAACTCTTTTCTCTTGACGAATATGCTCAAACCTGAGCTTAGAAGCCTCAGGAACTTTGGCTCGATTGGTTTCTTCATCATCTGGCGCGTCCTAAATTTGCATTTTCGTGCTGAATAAGCTTTCGAATACATTCCAGCTGGATCAAGTCGGCATATATATCAAAACGGAAACCTTGATTATGCGATAAAGACCATATAACCGATTCACAAACATATTTAACACCTTTGCTTAGCACCGAATTCGGCAAAGTGAGGTTTGCAACTGCTAAAGCACATAAAGTGAATATTTTATTTGCGTTTGGCATAATTTTGCATTTCAATTTGTGATTAATCAATAATTCGGCGCTTTTCTTTAAATATATATATATGAGTTTAAGCCTTACTAGATGGTCTGGAGTGCTGGATTTCCCGAAGATCTTTGAAAATGTGAACCATGGACAGAGATGCCCAAGCCGCAGTACAAGCCACCAAGCGAGTACAAGTTAAGTCCTAAAGGCAGATAAAGTACAGATAGGTAGCTTCGACTACTCAACGGGGGTGCCTTGTCAACGCCAGCCTTTCAAGGCAAACTTCAGAGCCAGAGTTGGGCAACGTCTCATAACTTTGACCAAGTCGAACCGCGCCAGCATAAAGCAAAACCTTATTCTCTTCGAATGAGGGGATAAAACAATCAACTATAGCCTTGTCTTGCTAGTGGAAGTGATTTGTTTTAAGATGTTTCACACGCTCGACGGCTGCCCCGGCTGTCTTTGAGACAGCTTCAAGAATGTCATCAGCAGTGAAGTCCTTGGCGAATACAACACCAACAAAGGCTTCGTTTATTTTCAGCTATTAATCTCTTTTGCAAAATTAAGAGCTCTATGTGAAATAGATTTCCCCACTTGGCGTTTGAGCCGGCGACTTCTTGTTTGTTGGTCCGACGCTCAGCCACAATCCTTATTGTTTTCAATGTCTTTCCTACAAACTTTAACCTCCGTTTCCCCTACTTGGAGGTTGATAAATATTCAATCAGTCAGGTCAAACTCTTTTATATTGATATAGACATTTTCCTGCATGTTGCCTAACGACCGAAACTAACCCTTTCACTCAGTTTACTGAGTATACAAAGTAGAACAAACCGCCAACGCCAACGAACCTTGGACGCGAGTTAGTTAGCTGGCGTGTGTTGGCCATGTTTCTGGCAGCACTCTGAACTAAAGACACGCCCGCCCAACGAAACCCGACCAAAACTGACAAATGCAACTGCAGAGGCAGCAGCACTTATCACTCAACAATCGAGGCCAGTTAGCGTCCCGCTATTCAGAGCTACCACCAACAGTTCTCAGCCGCCTGCCACAGCCCGCATTTGGCCAGGCCAAGTAATTACACGAGAACATGGCAAGAAGAGGCATGTGCTCATGTGAAAGGCTATTGGATTGTGGGGGGTTATTCGGGATGCGTCCGTTCACATTTTAATGGCAAACCAAATTGTTAGTTTAAACAAACAGCAATCAGGCGGGGAAGGAGCTCAGATTACTTGAACAGCAAATCCCCAAGAAATGTCCTTGTCAAAGCCAAAAGACATGTGGCAAATTATGACATTGACCAAGCCAAACATACACACACACACACAAGCAAAACCCTTACAATGGGTTAGTTGTTAGTTGTTATTCTGTTTCTTTTCTTCTTATTCTTGTGCCTCTTCTTCTTGTTGTTGGCACATGTTAACCAACTGTCATAATCAAGGCAAGTTTCCCGCGGGGAGTCAAACAAGAGGATAACTGCGGCAACATGTGCTATCAATGCTGCAGCAGCTCCCCAAATAGATATAAGAAACCGAAACTAGAAATGAAATTTTGACTTCATTTTGCGCCAACCAACTAACTTGTCAAAGGATTGTTCAACTTTTAGATGAACTTGGTTAACGAGTTACAAAGCGAGCATATTTGTCTTGGTACTCTGTGAGAATCAGTTTAAAATAAGAAAAGTTTCAGAATACAATACAATTAATGACGATTCACGGCTAAATAAAAATACCAAAAATGCCTAAGTCAGAGAATTATTATTTAATCCACTTAGTTCTCAGAATTAATGTCTTAGTAAGAGAAAATGTATTTTAAATTTTCCAATAGGGAAATAAAATCACTTGTACTTATAAAATCTCACAAAAATTGCTCGAATCAAACATTAGGAAATATTTACAAAAAAATATGTCGGCTATGTGTTGTGTAAAAAGTTAGTGTATCGAAAGTTCTTTAGTTTTTTTGAGTTAAATTGGCAACTTCAAAAGAAAAACACAAAACTTTTCGGGGCCAGCCCCTTGAGTAGGGAGCTGACTTTGGGGAAATAATTGCTTCTCTATTATTATTATGTTATTAGAGGCGTTCTAGTTGTGGTTTGCGCTTGGTTTTTGGCTTGGGCTTGGGGGCTCGGGGAATAGTCGAACTACTTTTAAATGTGGCACATTTCTCGTTGTGTCTTCACTTTCACTGGCGAAATGTGTTTTATTAGTGGTTTTGCTGCTACATTTTTTTTTTCTTCTGTTTTGTGCCCAAGTTCGTTGCATTTCGCTTGTTCTCTCATTTGTGTCGACGATTTTTCTCCCCAGTTGCAAGTTTTTTCCTTACTGCTGCTGCTGCTGTTGCCAGAGTACAGAGCAAACATGTGCCCGAAGCGCAATCTAATTAAGTGAAGTGTAGACCCGTAGACCAAGAAGGGTTAGTTCGGGCAACAGACGCGTAGGTGGCATGGGGGGGGGGGGCAGCTAGGAGAGTTACTGATGGACTCAAAACGATGAGTGCTCGTATGGGTGCGCGCGTATCTCTTGGCATCCTAGAGGATCCCCATTCCGGGCAGGGCAGCATGTCCTGACGTCCTTGCCGTGCTGCTGCATGCAATTTGCCGCTTTGCTCTCTGCTGCTTTCCTGTGCTGCATGTGACGCAAGTTTATCTAGTTGTTTCTTCTAGTCTTTTCTCTGTTTTTTTTTGTTTTCCTCTTGGCATTTCTTGTTGATTTTTTGGTTTGTCTATTACGCAGCGTTTGTGTTGCTTTCTTTGGCTTGTTCGAACAACATTTAAATTGGCTAAATGGTTTTCCATTTGCTGCTGCCCCCCCCCCCCCCCCCCCCTCTGTTCCCCAGCAGCGCCCATCTTGCCCGCCCCCTGCCCTGAGCAGTTGCAATGTGCAATTTTTTTGCCCCTTTTCTAAATTGTTTTTCTTTTTTTTTTTTTTTTTTGTGGCTTGTCAGTTCTTTGCAGGGGCGTTGTCGAGATTAGTTTTTATTATGCTGGAATAGTTTACAGCTTATAAATTTTTGAATAGCTGCTCGATAGTCGAGCCAAAGCGTTAATGATTTTTATTAAGATATATGGTTAGTCTTCGTATAAATATTAGATAACCCAGCTGCAAAGTGGCGTTAAGCTCTGCTGGAATTTCGTAAGCTAAAGCAAGCCAATTTCAGTAAAAGCTGGTTTAGCACATATTGAGCAAACAGTTAACAGATAATGCCCTGTTTATGGCTGAAAAGTTATAAAATTATCCTAGAACTTTTCTTCAAT